AGAATACGGGTCTTTGAAGGCCTAGAGGCAGTATTCATGGTGGTATTCGGAATCAGCATCGTCGACTACCTATAGTCCAGTCGGTTTCGTTGAAAAAGCGATTTATCAGTTGGGGATCATTCCTCGTGAGTGAATTTTAAGTGAATTTGCAAAGTGTAAAACGTTTTTTTATTTCGTATTCCTACACCTTTTTATGATCATTAAGCCGAAAAAATCAAGCCTAAACATAAAATGTAATTGCTTCAATTTTTTCTGTCGCCGGATCAATATCATGATCGAGCTCGACATGATGAAAGTAGGTCCGCGCTACTCGCCATTGATTAGTGGCAGCTTCAAAGACTTTGAGCACAAATGCTCTGATGAAGCCTTCTTCGCAATCCGCGCTCTCGACTTGTCCCCTGTCGTTGTAGTACTCGCGAACAATCAACCAGCAGGCCAAAATATCTGTAGTTTCAGCTGTTAGTCGTTTACGTTCTTCTTCGGAGGCATCCGGGTGCTTGTCAGGATGACTGCCCAGTAGCCTTCGACGGAACCTTGCTTGGGCTTCTTCGAAACTGTCCAACTGCAAGTTAATGCCAAACTTTTCAGCTGCCTTTTCAGCAACTTCTTCCGGAGTAATTTGGTGTTCAACGTTTTCCTTCGTGTCAACACGGGCAGTTTCTTTACGTGGTAGAAACTTTCTGTAGACCCACCGTCCGAATGCGTCACAGACAAGGCCACCAAACAATGTGCCAATGATTCCACCGATCACACCGCCAATAGCTGTCCCTATTACGGGAACTGCGGAGCCAATTGCAGCACCAGCAGCAGCGCCACCAAAAAATCCGCCATAACCGCCGCCAAATCCACATAACGATCCAACAGCATGCTCCCCGATGTTTTTGGCAACTTCGCGACCGTCTGCACCTTTCGACCAACGATACAACTCGACGGCACTGAAGATAGCGAACATGGCACCATTTGACGCCGCACACCCTGTCGCAGAAGCGTTGACAAAGCCGGAAATACCTTTCGTCGCCAAATCGAATACAGCACTTCCAGCAGTACCGATGACGGCCCTTGACACGATAGCTTTGTTATCCGGAGACTCGATTGTACGAACGACCATTTCCTGAACAGATCTGGTAACTGATCGCCGTTCAAATTTGCGGCTATCTAACTGCTTCAAAACACCATGCAGATTTTCGTCCTTGATAAGTTCCACAAAGACTAGCTGATACTGTGCGATGGTTAGCCGTTCCTTCAGGGCAACTTTCAGCCTCCGAAAATCCAACCGTGATGCCTTTACAGCTTCCATAGCTTGTCGTACGACTTGTTGAACGTCACGAGTGGCAATAAACTCTTGAGGAACGCACTCTTCAAACAAGAGACAGCCAAAAGGATAATCTTGTTTCAGATCGTCATATAAGCTAAGGGAATCATTCAAGGTCGTTTCTCGAAGTTGAACGGCTGTACTGTCCTGTACTGCTATCACTTGACCGTAACAAATTGGGCAATTCTTAAGGCCATCTTGCGTGGTTCTTCGATAGCAGCGGGCACAATATTGGCGATGTCCACAGGCATTGAACGTAACAGTTGCTAGGCGTTCAGTACAAAAGATGCAAATATCTTCCATTATTATCCTAAAGAAAACATGTAAGACGATATTCAAACTATGGAAAAAACCAGGGCCGCTATAGGATGTGCAGAGAAAAATTGTGCGGTGATTGTTTCAAGAAATAGCACCACTCCTACTACGAGAGAAGAAACTCCTTGGACTCACGTGCCTCGTGTTTACCCTTAAACGCTTGACCCTTTATTTATTATTCCCTTTTATTACTTTATTCCCCTGATAGCGATAAGAAAACAAACAGCCAGCCAAACGACCGAAAGCAGCGAAACAGTCTACTCTCCATATGAGGCCAACTCGCGATACACAATTTTCAATTTCAAGTGCCTCTAACAATGGAGGTGTTTGTGTTGTAACACACGGACATTAAACACATTCGGGCCAAATGAAAGCTCTCACCGCCAAACTAACAAGGTTAAAATATTAGCGGCTGTTGGTTTGCCTAGAGGGAGATATTTAAATTTTAAGGTATGTGAAATTTAGGTATAAAAATGAATCAGGGAAGGTTTTCTCCACTATTATAAGGACAAAACATAGTGTTGTTTGGGCCGATTATAGGGTTTGTAGGGACCCTCTTTCATATGGGCCGAATAACACCATGTTTTGTCCTTATAATAGTAGAGTGAGTTTTTCCTGTAGGTCATGGAAACGGCGTTTGCTACCAGCCACTAGAAAATTTAACTCTAGTATTATAAGGACAAAACATGGTGTTGTTCGGGCCAATCTTAGGGTTATCAAGGATGATCTTTCATATGGCCCGAATAACCTTATAATAGCAGAGTTAAATTTTCTAGTGGCTGATACAAAACGCCGTTTGCATGAGCTACAGGAGAAATTCACTCGACTGTTATAAGGACAAAACATGGTGTTGTCGGGTCATATGAAAGAGGGTCCCTACAAACCCCATAATCGGCCCAAACAACGTTATGTTCTGTCCTTATAATAGTGGAGAAAACCGTCTCTGAACCTTCTCTTTTAACCTTCTCTTTTATTTTCTAACCGGTAACTATATATAGATGAACAAGATAGGAAAAAAACCCAATGACACATTAGAAATAAAACATGACGAGAGAGAAAAGTACCTGAGCTATATCAACGGAAGAGAAACGTTTGGAAAATACCCTAACGCGAAGGAAAGAAAAGAAAAGATATATATGTATAACGTATGTGTCACCTATGTAAGTTTATGATATAATAGAAAAGAAGAAAGAAGGAAAGAAAAGGAAAAGACGAGCTATATATGAGTCACACTATAACAGTGCACAACTCGTTACACTGCTATGTAAAAAAAGCTGTGAAACTGAATCTTCAGGATTTTAGATTTAAAAGAACTTCAAAATGCTTGATTTTCAAGAAAGTAGGAATTTATCGCTGAATTCGTATGGACACTTCTAAAACATCCTTTGCGAATTTGTATAGGCACTCTTTATTTTGAACTGAACGATTTTCTGAAACTTTTCAGGTTTCAGTAAAATACGGTTCTCTGCATTTATGTTCTGCTGTAGAAAAGACTGTTTTTTGAAAATATTGTTTTTGCTGTAAAATTCGACCAAAGGGTTTTGAAGTCGAGGAATTTGAATGTATGTGTGTTCACCAAAGGATCAAGGAAAGAGGTGAGCTTTGACTATTCCGTATCTAATGGTGCACGTATTCTAAACGCGACTATCTTGAGGGTAGGTGAGGGTGAGAAGAGCTACGGCAATCGCGATTTCGATCCAGCAAAGGATCTCATCAGGTGGCTAGAGTTCGGATACCTCAACAGAGAGGTAAACCTTTATATCTTCTCAGGAATCACGAGGATTCAAGAGAAAATAGGTTACACTATTGAAATTAATTCAAAAAGAATCAATAACAATGCGAAAACCATGAGCTGTGTGAGAAGGGCTACCAAAATCGCGATTTTGGTCTAGAAAAAAAGTGAAGTATGCGTAGTTTTAATGGAACATGTTTGAAGTAAAAGTTTTGCATGCAGTGTGTGTTGGTTTGAATAGAATAATGGGAATCGTGCATGAAATAATCGATGAAAATGTAAGTCTGTGTGTGAACAAGCTCGATTTTTGAACTTTTGTTGCTTCGTGAACCCACAATCTGAATACACAACGGAAATACTCTTTATCTGCCGTATGTCAACACTAGAGGAATGAGTGAGTGGGACAAGTGCTGAGAGCCATTTTCTATGGTTCACTCTTCGGTCTATTTGCGAAGCGATCGGTTGAGGTGCGATCGTTAGGTTGTCTAGAGTGTACAGCTATATTCTGTGAGAAGCTACTCTATTCAAAAATATGTCTTCGAGCTCGGGCTCCTCTGTCATCCAATGAGCATGTTTTGTCGACACATTCTCACCTTCACAAGATAGAACTTTGACTGATATGCGTCTAATAAAATCAGCATTCAATGTGTGCATAATTCAACATGATGTTTTGTACGATAGAATACGACTTTTTTCCTCTTATCGCTTACCTTCAAGATAGTCTTGCGCTTTTAAGCATCACGATCTGTGTGTAAGAAGTATGATAACCAATTCTTCTCTATTCATACATGTAGCTATGATCAAACTATTCAAATATGGCGGCATCTATGCAATCATGTACATTGAATAACTGAAGACAATTGCTAAAAAGCAAAATACGGTGGTGTTTGGGATGGAAGATAGGGGCGAAAGACAGAGCACACGTAATCTCTGATAAGCTGACTCAGTTGTTGGATTGATAGACAAGTCTTTAAGTAAGAGTCAATCTACAGTAAAACGTTTCTCTGTTCAATGCTCGACACACACAGTTGCAAATGCTGACTTTTGAAGAGAAGAACATGCATTGTTTGATCATCATTAGTCATGTGGTTAAAAGCTTTGGACTGTGTGTGTCAATCAATGTTTTGAGTAACTATAGTCCACTTTTGTTGCTTGGTTGCAGAAGAGAAATCCGTTAAAATGGCAATTCTAGAGCACAAAAGCAAAGAGAAAAAGAAGCTATACTTGAACTATGAAGATCAAATGTACCGCTTTGAGTCTGCTCTTCTCTTGATCTTGTCACTTTTCATTTTCTATATAAGCGCGGCAGTAGACAATGGGGTAAGATAAGCAAAGCACTAACTTTATATTTTAATCGAAATAATTCCTTCATCTTATAATGTTCACAAGTTATAGATACTCATTTGTTACGTTTCTCTCATCTAGGTTAGAGAACGTTCTAACATAGATTCCGGTCGGTGGGTCGCTATTCCGCTGTTCTTCTATTCCCCGACTATTCTTCTATTTGTGCTGTTCCTCTATTCCAAATCGACTTAAAGTACACAAAAACGAACTTAAAGATCTAGCAATTAGAGTAAAACAGAAGAATTCTTTTATTCAGTAACCCTTTATATTAATTAGGAAGCATGGTAAAATTTCAATTCTAATTTATTTTATTTTGTATAATTTCGGTTCATCTGATTTTTTAGAGATGCACAGGAAAACCTTCTTTCAGAAAATTCCGGAATATATTTTTTTTCACACTGTGAGGAGCATCAGGACAGAAAAAGCGTTGAAATTGAAACTTTGAATTAATTTGAAGGAGAATGAAAAACTTATCCATCGCTGATAGAACACCTTGTCGCACTGAAACGCGAGGAAAACTAAAGTTCCTCGTATGTTAAAGAGAAAAAGTGCTAGCGAGCTGACACTTTCAGGCTGATCAATAGTCCAGTAGCACTACTTCGCGTGAAAGCTTCAATTCGATACGCATTCAGATGGCGAAACGAAACGTTTTTCAGTTTCCGATGTTTTTGCTCGGGAAACGAGGAGAAACTCGCTCTAACTTTGTAAGGATGTACTATGGGGACTAACTCTCTTAGGCTTTTTTCTAGTTCATTGGATGCCGTCGACTGATGAATGCACGAAGGAAATCGAGAGTGATCATCTAGTAACGTTCCTTCGTTACTCTAAACAACTTGGGCTAAAATTTCAGCTTCGAAAAATCTAACCTGCCAAGTTATAGGCGGAGCAATGTGCACGATTCTATAACTCGAAAAACGACAGCTTTTCATTAGAACACGATTTTCTTAGAAATTATGCTCTAGAAAAAGCTGAAACTTTCAGAAAGTACTGCCTATATGACCATCTACTCACTCTGAAGGTTTTAACATGAAAAAGTTTGTCGACCGAGCTCATGACTTAATGAGCTGAAAGCTGGGCGGTTTAATCCAGCTTCTGGCTTTGATTCCGAAAATGAAATCAAAAGTTTCGGTATATGCTAGGAGCATTATTAGAACGCCTGGTTTTCCAGAAAACCTTTCGAAATCCCAGAATTAGCAAAATTTAGTTTTGACTCGACATAAAGCTAGCGCGATAAAAACTCTACAGAACAAGGGTTTTTCCATTTGGCTACAATGTTCCTAGGCCGAGTTAATAACTTATATAAAACGTTTTTTTCTGCCTCATCTGATAAGAAGCGCAGACGCAGAACAAAAAGCCTCAATCTTTATCGGACTTTTTTTCAACAAGTGAGAAAAACAAAATTTAGGCAAAAACCACGTTGATTATGTCGACGCCAAAAAAGAAGTGAAGATGTAATTATAAGGAACCTGTCGAATTCACCGACAAATTTTGCATTTGGCGCCCAATTTTTATCCAATTTCGTTCAGTGCGGAGCAAGCACCAAATTTTCTAACGCGATAGATGGTTGTTTATACTTGTTTGTAGTTCGATCACGACAAACTAACACATCTAATCTCATCTACATATCTCAGCTAGAGTAGAGGTCCCAAAGCATGAGTTGAGTGAAAAGATACAGAAAGGCAGTCTCGAGGACTGCGCGCGTAGTG